CTGATGCCAGGGGCTTAAATGGAGAGCAAATGTTTTGAGAATGATGAGGGCAATAAATGTACATATGTGCTTTAAACAATTGATGTATGTATGTATTGTGATAAGAGTTGTATGAGCCCCTAATAAAATGATTTTTTTTAAGTACATTGAAAGATCTTTCTTGAAGTACAATGTTTCAATGGTAGGTTAACATTCATATGCCTGCAAGCAAGACCAGTTACTACAAGTGTTATTTAAATTTTTGCATTGTCATAGCAAACATGAAGTGTGGGATCCAGCCCTTAAGAGGGGTGTGTAAAATTAAGGGAGATAAAGCAGACAGCAAAGTAAGGGTACAGGGACCTGATGTGCAATACCGAATAAGAGACTGAGGTCATTTAACAGTGAGTTTATATAGTAGCGAGGCCTGCAAGCCTCCAGCTGGCACATATGCAACAGAACAGACAAAGTGTGAATCCTGATTGTTTTAGGACAGTGGTTCTCAACCTGTGGGTAATGACCCCTTTGGGGGTCGAATGACTGCTTCACAAGGGTCGCCCAATTCATAACAGTAGCAAAATTAGTTATGCAGTAACAATGAAAATGTTATGGTTGGGGGACACATCAACATGAGGAACGGAATTAAAGGGTAGCAGCATTAGGAAGACTGAGAACAACTCTTTTAGGAGAACACTTCACTATAAGTAGCAAGCTGTGGGAAATCAAGGACCAGGAAGAGCGTGTATGCAGACAAATTCTCTATTGCCTGGATGAAAGATGCCTGAAAGGTCAGGATTCCGGGTGGAGGGAGGCCTTCACATGTCTGGGTTGGAGAAGAGTCCCAGTCCCACTGTCCTAATTAAAATTCATGCCCATCATCCCCACAATATCCTTCCATTAGAGTGATACTTTAATGATACCTCATGAAAGCACATGGCTAGTTACGATCAGCTGCCAGCTTCATCTATAAAAGCAGACATGTTGTTATTGTTCTCCCCGCTCAGAGGACAGTCACGCCCCTCTACCTGCCCTCAGCACTGGTGTTCAGTTACTCAACCAATGAGCTCAGGGACCTCCAGGATAAAGATACTGCCCACCTTGTTATGCAGGTAAGTGCTGGGGGTAGGACTGGGACAAAACATTCTCTCTTTCCTGCTCAGACCTGGCATCATGGAGGAGATGAGCAACTAAATACTTTTGTCTGCCTTTTTATTTCTGCCCTTCAATTACACAAGCATCCCCTAGGACTCATCCAGAAGGCATAAAAGAGACAAAGGAATAGCTGCCTCCTTGAGTGATAGCAACAAAGGGAACCTGGTTGCTCTTAGAGCTAGGAATCTTTGAGCTGACTACCCAGATGGCAGGCACCTGTAGGAGGCAGCTGTATCCCAGCATCGGAATGGAGGGCAGTTGTGGAGAAAACTCTATCTGGAGACTGTGCATGATCAGCTTTATCTATATCCTCAGGACTGTGGACGTTTTCCTCTAGCATTAGCACTGGTCTTCCAAGCCCTGTGGGCAGGAGTACAGAGATTAGGTTGCTTACACTTTCATCCAGGTTGTTTTCCACAGTAAAGAAATTAAAGGGGGTGGGGGGGGGAGCTGATATCAAAGAGTTCGAGAAGAAAGAAAATGTTTTGAAACTGATTGTGGTAGTAACTACAATACTCCTTGATGCGATTGAACTATGGAATGGAATGACTTAAAAATATATATTGAAAATTTGCCGTTTTCAGCCAGAAATTGATCGACCATGCAATCATACAATAATGAATGCAAAATTTGGAAACAGTATCAGTAGTTGGGAAATGGGGCCTTAGTGATAGAAATGACACATGAGATTAACAAAAAAATTTTGAGAGACTAATGAATTCATAACAAATTCCTTATTAAACAACAGAAATGGAAACTATACATATAAACCTTTCTTAATGGAATACATGAAAATAAAATCAACCACATCTGTGGAAAGAAATGATGGAGAAGCTCATCAGTCAAAATAAGGCCAAAATGAGGTCATCAATTCCTCAAATCCAAGTTGAAGATGAAGAAAAGTTCAAGGAAGTCCACAATAGCCTAAGTAACCTGATTCACTTGAACTTAGAAACTATCTAACAAATAAAGTTGAGGAATAAAGGACTGATGACTAAAACCTAGTAACTGAGGACCAAATGAGTTGTAGGATGACACAGAGGACATCACGCATATGGAAACCAAAAGGCTACTCAAAACACAGAAAAGGAGAGAGCAGTACGGACTATATCGGCCATTGTTTAACAACCAAAAAATCAGCGTTGGAAAATACAGCTAACACGTTCTTTAGAAGCAGCAAAGGTAAGTGGGTGAAGGAAAACAGTGGTCTATGTAAAACATTAAAAATAATAATAATTTTAAAATTATCAAGGGTTCATGAGTGAGGGCGTGTGAGGGAGGGAGAGAAAATGGAGGAGCTAACATCCAGGGCTCAAGTAGAAGGGAAATGTACTTTAAATGATGATGGTAATATATGTACACATGTGCTTGACACAAATGATGAGTGTATGGATTGTGATAAGAGCTGTAAGAGCCCCCAATAAAATGATTTTTAAAAATGCCATTCCCACTTACAAAATTATTGGAGAAGCAGACAAGTTTAAAGAAAATCCTACAGGTGGAAAAAAAACTGAAGGTACGGTGCTAAAGAAGATTCTAAGCTGATAACAATTTTCTTGCTGGGAAGATGATCTTAGATAGCCGAAAATGACAGAAGTCATAAACATGTTTAACCAAAAGGAGTAAAATATATAGAATAATGTCTGTTAAGCAATTGCAACAGAGCAGGCAATTTGACCATCTCTATTAGAAAACAGACAGAACTTATATCACTCGAATGAAGAAAACTTTCCAGGGTTAGGAGAACAAACGAGAAAATGGAAACCAAAACTTTAGAGAAAGTCCAAGGGGGACTAAGGAAGCACAATGGAGACACGTTGCAGTGGGAGCTCAAGACCCAAGGGGGGGATGCACACGACAAAGGACATCCACTCTAACTCAATAGGGGGTGTGTGCTGCGTTCAGAGGGCACTTACAAATTCACAGTTCTGTGCTTGGAGAGAGGCTTGCAAGATGCGCTTTCATAGAAGGTAGGTCATACAAGAGGGAAAGGTTTGAGAATCTTCAAAAAAGAAAATTATGGAAACAAATGTACATAGTGCAAGTCAAATAAATAGAAATCTAAACTCAGAAGGGCTGGACTATTTTTCTAAACTTCTAGGAAAAGCGAGGGTTCACACTGGAATAGGCACACACTTTTAGGTATTATCCGATACCTTTCATGGATGTGAGGCCTTCTCCCAGTTGAATCAACTCCCCCAGCCAATCCCCCTGAAGGTGTTTTGCTCACACACCTGAAAAAATTCCACTATGGCTCTTTTCCTAGGACAGACCACAGTTGTTCTCTTTGTTCCAGTTGAGAGAAAGCTTCTGGGGTGCCAACTAGATAACCAGTTCATGAGAAATTACAAAGTCTTAGCCACCCCAAAATTAACCTTAGGTTTGTGAAGCCTGCAGAATGTTGTGTTTCTGTGGAAAGAATGTTCAAAGCAACAAAGTAAAGGGTATTCTTTCAAGGGTAGAAGACTGGACACGGTAACCTAGGACCAGAGAATGCAATGCAAATCTACCTATGAGAACACCACAGACACTGCAAAGATGGACACATAAAATAGGAATTCTCCTCACCGATGGAAACCAGGTTGCGATAGTTCTCCCACATCACATCCTGATAGAGCATCTTCTGAGCCGGGTTCAGGAGCTGCCATTCCTCCCCGGTGAACCTGACAGCCACATCGTTGAATGTCAGTGATTCCTGCAGTAACAGGAGTCTATTTAATGAAGTATTTTCCATTTAAAGATCTTTACAAAATACCTTGCAGTAAAGAAAGCAAAACAGTAATAAAAACTATTCTGTGCTGGTGTATTCCCTAGTGTGTAGTAAACTGAGGACCTGGTAAAAAGTATTTGACCTTATTTCTACACTTGCAACCACGGGCACAGAAAACTAGCACTATTTAGAGAAAGAGCTCCATTGTTCTGAGATAGAAATGTTTTCAAATACACGTTCTCCACGCCAAAGAATGTGCACCTGCAATAGTCCTCCATTAAGGAGCAGTCTTAAAGGAGCTACCATAGTACAGTGAACCCTCGCCACTTCGCGCTTCGACTTCCGCGGCTTCACTCTATCGCGGTTTTTGCGTAACAGCACCCACTGCCTACACCCGCTCCTTCAGAGGAAAAAGACGGCGACCCACCTGTAGAGTACATCCCTTAAGTCATTTCATAGGCTATTGATTACAGTATTTGTAAGAACTATGTATAATAATACTGTATGTGAAATATGCAATACTGTAAACTAGATGCCATAAATAATATAATAAATAATAAATGATAATTGTAACGTCCAAAATGTTTTACTGTATTTTCCCTTTTTCGTTTAATAAATTGGGTAATACGAGTGTAATGGTGACTAAAGGGTGTTTTTTCATGTCCTCTATGCTCTAACTACGAAAATATTTGATTTACAAATAAGGAATCCTACTTCGCGGAATTTCATTTATCACGGTAGGGTCTAGAACCGATTAACCGCGATAAACGAGGGTTCACTGTAGGTGAATCATTTGTGTGTCTGGCTACTTCTCTGTGCCTGAAGGTGATCTGTAGATCAGAGCAATCAGGGTCTATAGCCAACCCTCCATAAATGTAGCAAATGCCTGGGGAGGGCTCAGGGTGGGTTTGAGATCAACTATCACTAGGTCAAGATGGTAACTCCTTGATTTTTTATTGTTACCACTTATGATATTACCCACTGACTGTGTATATGTGGACGGTATGGCGTGCATGCCTTATGAAAGACCTGTAAGCCCCACTATGCATAAACATTGGGAAATACATCCACTCTCTCTGTCCTGACATGAGACAAGGAGCCCCTGTGTCCCGTTGTGTGTCTTTAATATTTTCCAGAGTCACTCCTGAGACTCATTCGGTTGTTAGGGACACCCATGCCTCAACAATAATGCACCCACTCATAAAATTAGAATTTTGAGTAGCAGTGAAATTTCCTGAATGAGCTAGAAATAACTCACATTTTTACTCACACACAGGAGATAAATACATACTTGTTTATAGTAACAAACAAGTTAACAGTCCGTTGTGAAATGTAACTAGGAATCCTAGCAGTATCACCATTATGAGATGCTCTGTACCTACAGTGGTGATAGGTATCAGGCTCAATTCAGAGCTGATCCCTATGAGGGAGTCAAACACACTTCAGCTCTCCAACATTCTTTGCCAATTCTTACACAAGTCATGCTTCCCACACCACTCTCTGTCTCTCTTGTGGGTTTGATAATCTGTTGCTATGGCCACACAAAACTCATAGATCAAAGTGGTTTATTAATGAACAAGGCACAACTCAGGATCAGGAACAAGAAGTTACAACTTAGGACCAAGAACAGAAAGATCAAAGGAAAGTCTCCCTTCCTGGGTGCAGACTAACTTTCTGTGCTCTTAGAGGCCACTTTAGGACAAGCACCTCGTCTACCGTAGGACAAATTCTCTCAGCCACCTTCGGACAGTACTGCCTGAATTTTAATTCCAGGGTCCTCTTGGACATGCCATCTTTCATCACATGCTCTCCAAGGGGCCCCTCCTAGTTCTTTTGCCATTGGGTAGACCTCTGGAGCCCTCCTAATATTGTCTAGGCAGGGAAGGTGCTACGTTGGGCTAAGAAGACATCATATCAAGAGCGAAGGCAAAAGGGAGAGAGAACTGCCTGCAGGCATGGTTGAGAAGAGACAGTGAGGTATTGGCCTGTCATCTGCCCTGTTGACTTGGTTTTGTTAGCCCCTGCAGCCACATAGTTCAGAATGAACCCATGGATTAGGGATTTTCCAGCTTTCAGAAATGCATGAGCTATTTCCTTGACATTCCTGCAACTGGGAGCCACCTGGGTGACCTGATTTGAGAATTCCCACCACTGTCAGCCAACATCTTGCTGTGTGACCTTCCCATTTGGGCTCCTCACCCACTGGAACATACTATCTGACCAGATTCAACAACTTGACATTGTGGCGCAGTGGACTATTGTCTGACCGGATGATCTGGTTCATCAGCCTTTGGAAACACATTAAAGAAAACTCTCCAGATTGATACCTGACCTATGGATTTGAGGCTCACCAGCTTCCATATCTTAAAGAGGTATTTATTGACTTGATGGCTATTTAGTTCTGTGAGATGGTGCAGGGCAAATCATGGAACATCTTGAACCTCTACCTCATGGGGACTGGCCTACTCCTGCTCCTGCACAATGAACTGTACTATTCCTGGGTCAAGAGCTGTACCAATGGAGGTAATGACCAGAGCAGAAGGGACACAGTGACAGGTCCAGAAAGGGCTTTTCAGCTACGATAGTGGGACAGGCAGGCAAGATCAAGAGGAGGATAACCCCAAGAGCTGAGAGGAGCCTACACTGAAGGAACTAAGAAATGAGCCTACCTTCAGGGGGCAAAATGTCTGAGAGGGACACAGAGAACAGGCCTGCCTGAAGACGGGCAAATCTGCCGACTTGTTTCCTCAATATGAATCCCAGTGTGTAGCCTATTGATTCTGAAACCAAGTTACATTCTGTTACTAAAGAAAACTTGTACCTGTGACTCTGGACTGTAATCTGTACGTGACCAATGCAAAAAATTAATGAACTGAGGAGAGGACCGTGGTAAAGATAAGTGGTGTCATAACTGGAAAACTATTGGAGAGTACAGATATGTTTAAGTTCTGCGTCATATGAATCAGGGCTGATGCTGATAGTCGATTCTCTCTCCAACATTGATAGTTAGAGGAGGTGAGAAGCTGTCAACCATTTTTTAACTACTATTGCTACAAGGCCCATTTTAGATGCGTTCATGAGAATGCGGATGTTTGGAAGATTATATAACACATCACCTGCAGAAAGAAACTGACTCAGACAAAAATTCCATGGAATACTGAATTCTCCTAGAGATAATTGTCCTATTGAACTATCCTTAAAAAAAAGACATATCTTTTAATTTGAATGATTTTCATGGGTTGGCCTTAGAATAATGAATTGTGAGTTGAAAGATAAAGTCAGCCAAAGAATCATCAGTGATGTTCAATGTTCATAGTTTAGTGTTAATCCTATGATCAATATATTCCTAATCTTCTCTAGTCCAATGTTGAAGTGAAAATCAAAGTTTATCTCTAACTTCTACTACTTCAAATTTCCACTTTTCCAATGAAACGAATCAGTATTATATAGGCTTCTCCAATTCTACTTTGAAATACAGAAAAGGATAAAACATATAAAAATCACCTGAGCCTTGGTCATTTTCTTTGGTCCTCAGGACACTGCCGGCAACTGGGATGCTCTATGTTTGTCTTATCTGGATCAGCTCTAATGATGTTCACAAATTTCAATCTCTCATGAAGACATCCCAGAAATAATAACGAAATCAGGCACTTCTTCCTCCTTCCTCTGAGCTGCTGGTGATTCAAACCTGTAGGCTGGTGAGAGAATACAATGTGAGTAATACACCTCCTGTAGGCCCAGATGCTGTTACTGTTCTGTCCCTCTTCTTAACAAAGAGTTCCTAATACTATTAATGGTCCCTGCACGGAGTGATGGAAAACATGTTTATAACATGAGCAATAAAATCTAAAACTCTTAATTTTCAGACATATGAGTAAAAGATGACTTTATAATTTAAATAGATATTGAACAACAATGTCAAAAAGAAGAAACAAAAATCTGGATCCCTACCTCACAACATATAGAACTATCAATTCCTTACTGTGAGACATTCAAGGAGAATGATAAATCAGCGAACCTTTAAGATGATTAGGTTTAACACCCCCCCCCAACCAACCCGCCCACTATCATGACCCGAATTCTACCTTGCAAGTCTCACTAGACCAGAGGATGTACACTGGTACAGATAGGAACCTGAAACACAGGGAATCCAGGGCGGATGATCCCTTTAGGACCAGTGAGTGGCAATACTTGGGAGGGTAGAGGGAGAGTGGGATGGAAAGAGGGAATCGATTACAAGGATCTATATGTGACCTCCTCCCTAGGGGACAGACAACAGAAAACTGGGTGAAGGGAGACATCTGATAGGGCAAGATATGACAAAATAATAATTTATAAATTATCAAGGGTTCATGAGGGAGTGGGGAACGGGGAGGGAATGGAAAAATGATGACCTGATGCCAGGGACTTAAGTGGAGAGCAAATCTTCGGAGAATGATGAGGGCAATGAATGTACAAATGTGCTTTACACAGTTGATGTATTTATGGATTGTGATAAGAGTTGTATGAGCCCCTAATAAAATGATTTTAAAAAAAGATGATTACGTTTAACTAAAGCATATAGAAACAATTTAAATGGACTAATAAAGAACTACTATAAACTGAAGATTATTTTGCTAGAGGAACTATAAATAGTACAATCACTTTAGAAACAGTTTAAAACTCAAGTAGAGTTAGACATATAAGCACCAGACAGGACACAATAAAACTGCTGTAGAGTTTCTGAGACTTTAAACCCATGACAGGCAGCTAATGGGTTTGTACCTCTGACCTTAAGATTTGCAGTCCAACTGTTAACACGTCAAAACCTGGCCTGTATTGTAAACACTTACATATAATCTATTTGTTTGAAATTTATATATACATTTTGGAATGAAGTAAGAAGTGTACATCCCCCCATAGTGAGTGCAGTTTTGACCCAAAGACAAATCATGTTTTTAATGTAATATGACTTGTAATAACCCAATGTGGTCAGATAGTTTGCCTACACAAGTATAGCCTTCCAGCTATGGTTTCCAAACGTTTAGGTGGGTTTGTTATCCACTAATGTGACTGAGGCAAAGGACTCTGGTGGCATAGTGGTTACTGTTGGGCTGCTAACTTCAAGGTCAGCAGTTGGAAACCACCAATTTCCCCTGGAAAGAAAGATGGGGCTTCCTGCTCCCAAGAGTGATATGGCTTTCTACTCTGCTAAAGGGCTTAGTCTTGGAAACCAACAGGGGCAGTTCTACCCTGTCACACAGGCTCACTATGAGTCAGTGTTAACTTGATGGCAGGGAGTTGGGTTTTTTTTGGTTTAAGAGGATTGGGCAAGGTAATCAAGTGGCCATCAAGCTCAGAAGCAACAAAGCCCACATGGAAGAAGCACACCAGCCTATGCAACCATGAGGTGTCGAAG